TAGAGCATAAATGCGTGTATATTTCGGTTGTTATTAGAGCATGAACAGAGTCGTACAACCATATATTTATAACTACAATGTTTAAAACCCAAATGTAAAATCGTTAAATACAACAACAAAAAAAGGTTAATACTATATTTTTTTTCAAAAATTTAAGTCTCGCTTTGAAGCTACAAAAGAGTTTAGTAGTTAGTAAACCACTCGCCACTCGACTAAAATTCTAACATAGTCTAAACCGGATTAGATAGACCAAAAGAATAAAACCTACCTGACAAAAACAAAAATATAATGAAAATGTCCAATCCCGATGATCACTATGTTATATTATATTGTGTTTTTCCATTTTGGCATTAACTCGCACCGTCATGGGTTTTTGTACACATTCGATAATGCATAATCATTAGGCGTTAATCATTGACGAAAAAAAAAGAAAATAGAATTATTATCATCCTGTTGCCAAGAAAAATAATTGATACTAAACAACACTATTGTAAAAGAACACTCCTAGTGGTCATAAGGACACACACAAATAGCACCTACACATTTTTTTCGATGTCATCGCCAAATTATATCATTCGTCGAAAATCAATAAAAAGTTTAAATATCATTGTCTGCGCTATCATTAAATGTTAAAGGACAGAGATTAAAATTTAAAAAGGTTTCTTTCACAACGATTTATACCAAAATATGGAGTCCTCAAAAACTTTGGATGTTCAAACAATTTGTTTTAGATTTTATGTATAGCTGTACAATATATTGTACAACTTAAGTTACTCTTTAACATCATAAATTCGTTATTAATTTGTTATATACGGTCACACCGCGGGTTTCAAAATCTAGAAAATATATTAATTTCGAGAAAACTTTTAAATGAAAATCTTTCTTTTTGCTTACCTTTATTTTAAATTAGCTCTAGTTTAAAGTTGCGCACAAATTTGAGAGAGAAAATTTAGTCTTTCAACAATGTTATTATTTTATAAAAACATTTTATTATTACTTCATCAATTTGAGGGGTATTTTGCTACATTACAATTTTGGCTATATTAAAAGTGTTATGATATAGCTCTTCCATAAAAAATATGTATATATTTTTTTAAATGTTTAAATTAAGGCACATTTACGATTTTGACATTTATTTTTGCACATTAAATTTAAATTGTTTAAAAAATGTAATGATTTTATTCCAACAAATGTGAGTGTAACGAATCAAATTATAAAATAATATCCTGTTAAAGATTTAATTCTACCCTCTTCCAATAACCGCCAATTTGATGATATAATACAATGCTAAAATATCTTTGACAAAAAAAAAACAAATGTTTTTTTGTAATCTGTACTTAAAAATTGTTTGAAAATGTCAAAAATACGACTTAATACTTCAATTTAAAAAAAGACTCTTAAGTTAACTTTTATTTAGTTATGTTTACTAAGTTCCCCCATAAAAAGTAGTTTTTAAAATTTTACTGAACATCAATCTAATTAACCGTAAATGTTTTTTTTAGTTGCTATAATTTGATTTTTATTTTTAAGACTACAATATTATTATTTTTCTTAATAAGTGATAACTTAAGTCTCTTAATAAGTTTCGATTTTTATCAACAAAAAAAAACGTTGGACAAGTTAAAAGTCATTGAAAAATTGTAAAATGCAAATGTCCAGATTTAGATGTAAAACTTTGGGTAAAACTTCTCAGATTCTCCGTAAGTAATTAATTTAACCGTGACAAAATTAATAAATTAATAATGGAATTGTATTTTGTTTTCTTGAATTTAACTTGCAAGTAGTCGTGCCTTTGAAAATCTCATTGGCTATTTTAATTTTGAATCCATTTAAAATTTAAATATATTACAATAATACACAACTTTGATTGTCAAGGGCACATTTTTGTACAAAATTGTTAAATATATTAACATTGGTAATAACATAATCTAATAACCATACAAATTTTGTTGAACTTAACATATGATTTGAGAAAATAGCTACTCTTCTCTTAATCAACACATAAAAATAAGTACATACAACATTGATCTACTTATAGGAACAGTGCCAAATGACAACTAATTGGGACTCGACTACATTTATACTAGCCAAAAAAAAAAAAAAATGAATTCTCGTTAAATATCTTTTTTAGACATATTATAATGTTAAGTTGTAACAATAAACCGAGTCAGACTTAGCACTAGCCACCAGTTGGATGCTGATTAAGTAACCACTACTTTAGTTGATGACCAATGACAAAAAATTAATAATCTTTTTACTCGTAGATGAAATATTGTCCGCCAATAATAATACATTGAAGAGTAAAAAATAAGCTTTTTATGATCAGAACTAAATTGTCATATGCAGGTATTATTATTTAAATAATAACTGTCAAACGCAAATGCCATTTATTGATTTACATTACGTTTTGTACAACAACGAGTATAGATCTAAGAAATCCTATATATTTTTTACGTACGGCTGAGTTTGCTGACCTCGAACAATGTATGACAAATATCCGATCCTGTACAAATGATTAAAACGATAGAGTAACAAAAACCGGGTAGTTTTAATGATGAATGTCAGTGTAATACTTGACCCAGTTTGGTTGCTGATAATTACAACAGAAAATACAAAATTATTTGGCAATTTGGAAGGTTATTGGTGGAACTCGACCGTTTTTGGTTGACTACGACTAAGAGAGTTTCACAACAAGCAAACTTGTGCGAATGTCATCCAAATAAACTTGGCCACAAGATTGATATCAATCAAGTCAAATTTAGTACCTAGTTTAATTGATGACGATGTGAAATATTAACAAACACAATAGGGGTTGTTTTTCTCAAGTGGACGACCGTTATTGAGTCAGTATAATACGATCTACGTTGCACGTCCGATTGACTGACTGGGCATTGGTTTTTTCAACATATAGTTTTCTTAAGTTATAACAAACATTAATATTATTGAGAAAACTTACCAGACAGAAGCAAAAGACGGCGGTTTCGAAGGTGCACGGCAACAACAGCTACTCTATTCGGATCACTGGATCACTAGTAAAATGGAAAAATTGAAATTTAACAAAGAAAACTGTTCGCGAATGCAATTTCTTTCCGTTTAAATTGTCGAACAAAGTTTCTTTTGTAATGTTTTGTTTGTATACCAAACGTTCAGACGAACGCGGTCGGCGGTACAATTCATAACATAGTGATAACACCACAGAATGGACTGTTCAGTGATAACACTTTATAACATATTTAGTAGGTGTGCTACCACTGTTATCAGTTTCCACTATTTCCAATAACTATTTGTCCTATTGGAAAAACTGGTGATTGGAAAATGTGAATGTTTTTTGAATTTCAGGAAAATATGTTTCTAAATGTATTTTGTAATAAACTGTATTATGTGTACTCGAACAATTGGGTACCATTTTTACACGTGACACTATTTCCTAAGACAATATTCATTTGTATTAGACTAGCCAAGCAGACACGTTACACTATATTTTCCCACAAACACATAACTTTGTTCATAATATTGGAAATACCTAGGTAAATTTTTTTAATATTACCTAATCGAGGAAAATACGATCAAACAAATCGTTTTCGTAACTCGTGTGGTCTTCGGCACCATTTGTAAATCCAACTTGCATCGAAGCTGGTAAATATTGGTCGTCGACAACATCACAAACTGGCTTTACTTTGTTCAATACTAATTGTACCTGTAAACAATACACTTGTTTTGAAAGTTTATTTTTTTTTTGTAAAATTAACAGCCGTTTTAATTTTTTTAGTAGCGCATCGACAAGATATCTTTGATTGATGATCATATTGCTTACGGCACAATTAGTTTTTAAAAAAAAAATTCACATGATGACATTTTTTTTTTGGTTGTGTCGAGAAACCATAATATTAATATTCACCTTAAGAAAATCGATTTAAAAAAAAAAACATTTTTGCGTTTTTCAAAAAGCCCCGGTTATTTTACCAGCCGATTGTGTAAGTTTTCCGAATAGAATCCACACAATTTAACTGGCCACAAATATTGAACAAATAACAGTTTTATTGATATTTATAGTCAGTTAGTTTCCAACCACCGAAACGGACGGTCTGAAGCCCTCACTGACGCGTTTTAGTTGGATCAACAGTGATAAACTGGCAGAGTTCTTTGAAGTAGTGTACTGATGTTTGCTTTCCTGCTTGGATGTTCTAAATGTCAGGTATAATGTGGAAATCACTTCTACTAATGGCCGGCGAAATCCGAGTGGAGTGATAACATTGGTGGTGAAGCCGAAAAAGCTTGTTAATATATTTTATTATCATATTTTGTAGTGAATTTGTTGTAATTCACCTGATCGTTTAGTTGGTAAGTTTTAAGGCTTCTTTGATGTAGACAGCGGCCGAATATGTTAAAAAAAAACACAAATAAAATGTTGTTATATGACCGATAAAATAAAAATGTGTAAAATATGTTAATAATAGTAATAAATGTCTAGTATGATATTTTACCATAAATAGATGTTTAATTTATAAAATGTATACAATTTAGATATTCAATTATAATGTTTTTTTAAGTAAACTTTACACGAAGAACAATACAGACTACAATGTTAGTTTACGCCTATTGAAATAATAATACTGTTATCATCACAGAAGATGTTTTTTATATGTACAAAATTAAAAAATAAAAAAGGTTCTTAAGCTAGACACGTAAATACAATAGTTAATTATCAATTATAATGTAAAAATGTAATCGTAACACAAGTGTTATCAGACATTTCAATTTAAACCGAATGACAAAAGAATTTGAAAATATATTACTAATATTATTACATTACATAAATATGTATGTCTATATTAGTCTTAAAAATACAATACTATATAAAAATATTGTGACGTTGAACCAATAATAATCAAAATGAGATCCTTAAAATGACAATAATTTAGCGAGTTTAACAATCCCAATTAAAAAAAAAAAGTATACATATCTATAATAAATTATTAAAAATGTATTAAATCAGAAATGTAAATTATCATCAACACTAGTTTTGCGTCGATTTTTAAAGGGGAAAATACGTGAAATATTTGAATAGTAATTACTTTTGTTAAATGAAATTTAATTAATTTTTATTTTGCATTTTTTCTATTAAGCGATAATAATTAAAGGTTAAAAAGGAATAAAAAAAATGCAATAATTACTACATTTAATACATTAGCCGAATATTAAAGTAGGTACAAAATATAAGTTTAGAAATGTCTGTTGTTAATGTACTCAAAATGCTTTACCGTTAAAATCAGAGCTTAACTTTTTGCTAAACCTTAAATTATATCTGCCATAGTTTAAAAGTTAAAATCATATAAACGTCTAGTTTGAAATAATTCATCAAACTAAAAAAAATTACAACAGTCGTTTAAAATTACCTACGGCTAATAAAAAAAATGCTATAATAATATTGTCCGTTTTAGACGAACAATCGAATATCAATAAATGTCATGATAGTGATTAAGTCTCGATAAAGTCTAGCGTATGTTAAGTTAATGTCGAGGGCGCCATTCAGTCGAAAGCAGATTTCCTAGAGAAAGAAGCAAGAGACGACATTTCCGTGGGTTCGGTTGGCAGACGACTGAATTCGATTGTATCGCTCGAACTGTTGTTGATATCTGTAACACGCCGTAGACGGTAATTTAGAACTTTAGTCGATTAGAGGTAAGCGGCGGCTCTGAACCGAATACTTACCGACTTCCGACGGCCAGTGTTTGTGAGATGGAGAATACAGCACGATCAGAGCAAATATGTAAATGTTCCACATACCGTACACACCGGTGTAAAATGCCGACGTGTACTCCAGCTCCGTACTTTCGTTCCACTTCCATCGTCCTTCGGACGCCTAAAGTGAACGATACTTATTAGGCTTACATGGAATCTGTTATATCACTTATATAATAGACCAGTCAATAGAGACAGAAGCTTAGCAAAAAAAGTAGTAGATGTAAATTTCTAACTAAAAAATTGTTTTTCTAAACGCTACGTCGGGGTATGTACTTTGAAATATTAAAAGTCCCAATAAATTTAAACGGTGCAATTTTTTCTTTATATAAAGCTCTTGTTAGTACAACTTTTACATTTTTTCCAATATCTTAGGAAATATGGACAAAATAAAAAAAAGACAAATATAAAGTATTATCGCAAAACTACTTTGAAATCAGACAGTATAAAAAAATGTACAATAATGAGATTATTAGACGGTAAAATTTATCCCTTTTTTTAAGTTATTTATTAAATTGCCTCCAAAGTAGGAAAAAAAAACTATTTTTTGCAATATTAAGATTAATGTTACGGATAGACTTACTTGTCCCATCAAGAACCCTATCACGGTCAAAGCAGCACACAACAGAGTAGCGATCATCAAGAATTTAAATCTGTATATTGATCCTTCGTAGTGCAATCGCCGAGCGTTAGACATGCTCGGCAACGCCGATCTTCGTGCGCTGATATTGCAAAACACCTTCCATATCATATACGACAAGAAAATGAAATAGAAACCTCCAGACAAGGCGGCCAATATGATGAAGGTTAACTAGAGGAGTGCGTTAAAGACAATTGTACGTTTCTCATAGTTTCGGACATTTTTTATAAAACGTTTTTAAATCAATGTTGTTAAAACGTATGTGATAATGTATTCTAATACGTCAAAAACCTTCCAATAATATGATATATAAAGTGTAACACAAAATCTTATCAATTATTGTTTGTTAGGGAAAAAACAGATTTTTTTATTTAAACAGTAATATTATTTTGATTAAAAACCACAAATGTTATTATTATTTTTTTTATTGAAAAATTTTAAAAGAAATAACCAAAAAGTACAAACTTGTGTCTTAAATTATTGATTTGACTACAAACCTATGTCGAGTATAAACTGTAATATATTATTATAAAAATGTTTTCGTATCTCACATTTAATATATCCACGTTGGTGTCAAGCCGTCCAACAATTTTCACAATAACATAAGTTTCTGAACTCTAAGAAAGTATTGGTATTTATTTGAAAATCATGTAATAAAAAATAAACTACTTTACAGTGTTGTAATGTACATTTGACTCAATTTGAGTAAATGTATTCCAATACATTTTTAGAAGTAATCAAATATGTATTTTAAATACTCACAAAATAACTACTTTAAAACGTATTTGTATTTAACATTAAAATACTTAAAAAAAAACTCTTTTAATATATTCATAAACTTATTCTATTCATCAAAAGTAAAAATGAACAAACATTGTTTCAGCCAAAATACGACCTCTGGTCGGTAAATTTGTTGATCATTACTATTACAAGCTAAATTTTTTTCCCCCAATTGTCCTTTTTATATTAATTTAAGTTTTTTTTTTTTAATATATAAATACTTTAAAAATGTACCTGTATTTGTACTTAATATGCTCAGGCTGAAGTTCTGAATCAAGTATATTAATTATTATTTTAAATCCATATCTATATTTTACTTGAATCAAATGTTTCGAATGTGATGATTTCTTATAATTATAATATTGTAAACAAAGATGTTTACCATAATTTATAATTTTTAGTTCTTTGAATAAATAAAAAGGATACTGCCAAGTGCGTGCCCGTTTGTGTTACCCAAATGGAGAAAAACGGATTTTTCAATTGCGCTCCTCTTTCGCACATATCAAAACCAAACAATGAAATACATCCGACAGCAACACCGCTCAAATATTTCCAATACGATCGTAAACGTTTCTGCTGCGATTCCTGTATAATATCAAAACAAAAGCATAGTTAAAAAGATAGTTTTCAATATATTGATGAACAATAATTATTACTAGAAAAAGAAAAATTAAAACGAATAAACCATAGTAAAAAAAAAATAAGAAATTTGATTTACCTGAATCTGTTAGCGAGATCAATGTGAATATTGAAGAGACATGGAAAAAAAAAATGTGTTAATGTTTGTGTTATCGGTGTGACACATTCTTACTATTTGTTTTTGAAATAAACCAAAATTATGTGCAAATAAATGTAAAATGCAGATTGTCCGTTAACTCACCATAAGATGTTCACCGGCGAAAATTAGCCAAAACGAAAGCAAAGCAGCATAGAAAATACCTTGTCTAACGTCTTGAAGTAATAACATGTAAGGCATATCGAAGTATAGCGTCAAGAATTCAATTGGAACTAAAAATCATATTTTGGTATGGAAAAAAAAAAAAAATGTTAAAAACGATTTCGCTATAACAGGTAAAACGTCGCGTTATTGGGCTTACGATTTAGTAACGTGAGGGCGAATCCTATCGTCATCAACATCCGTTCAAGCAACACCGGTTTGCGGGCAAGCATGTGCACTCTGTTCCAGAACCATATCATTATCGCCACGATAAATGGGAAAAATAAAGTTTTCATAAACAACCAGATTCTAGTAAAACCACCGTTTTGATTGATTACCTGGAAATGACCAAAAAAAAATGTTTGAATAATTAAAATACAACAACGAATGACAATATAATATAATTGGAATATTTAAAACTCATTTAATATTTAAATTTATTTAAAAATTTATAATTTCTCGTCTATTCACTTTTTCATCATCACATTACCAATAAAATATTTTCATGGGTGTTTTAATTATTACATTTTTACTAAAGAAATAACACTTTTTTTTCGAGTCTTATGATAATAAATGTTCTCTCAAAATAAGATTTTTCGATTTATAAACTCCAATTGATAATTTTCATACGTAATATCATAAATGTTATTACGATTAGAAAATATTGTCATAACAAGTGATTTTGTTTAAAATGAATTATCAAATTATCATCCAAAATAGTTAGTACTGTCCAAAAAAAAGAGGAAAATTACACTTTCAAAATTTCTGGGTTGCTAAGTATGTGAGAGTTAATAGATAACTTAATTGTATTGTGTTGTTAATTACGATATATGGGAAACAACCGCAACAAATTATTATAGACAGACAGTCAACTCTTATAATATCCACTATAACTCTAAAAATACAACTTTAAACTCATTATGTCAATATACAGTGATTTTATCAATATCTGTATTCTTACCAATTACAGCTTTGCATTGAAGAAAATTATATTAAATAAATTATTATGCCTATAAGTACTTTCATAAGAACAATAATTTAAAATGATAATAAATTCATGAATTAAGAAAAGAAAATCAACTCAACAACAATATAACTACAAGAGCACCTGACAACCAACAGTTTGTTTAGTACGCATTTTTTCCCATTTCGTCCACTGGAAAATTTCTAGAAAACACGTCACACTTACCACCAGCCAGACATCTTTCAAATGGCCCAAGCCGAAGTTAATTCGGTTTCGTTCGTCGACCGGTATCCTTATATTGATCAAATAATAATCGTGATGCAACGACCCAAGTTCAAACAGCGGAACGATCGAACATTGATAGTTGTGGCCGTCCAATTTCTGGAAAACAAATTCAATTAATATACATATTTGATATAAAGAATTTTAACTAAAGAAACGAAAATTAAAAAAAAAAAACAAATACTAAGATCCAAAAAAAATGTAGGTATTATTTCTTACACCCCTTAACGAAAAAATTGATTAGACAATAATTTACGATATTACAAGAATTACAAATTGTCTACTAACCTCTTCGGAAACACAATCTAAATTGCGTTTTTCTACTGACGACGCATACTCTTTCCAGTCGCCGTCTCTATCACCATAGTTTGCATAGCCTAGTCGGGTTTCCAATGTCAATTCAATATTACGTTCTACAAAAACAATTATAGACTACATTAAAACCATTTTTTAATTAAAAAAATTGTGTAAATCTGTGTGGATTACACAGATTAAAAGTCAATTAACATGAATATAGAATAAAACTTAATTTATTACCCATTTCCGTTCCTGGATGGTAAACAATGTCAAAATAGAGGACTCCGATAAGATTTTGTTGCCAACGCGAAAAATCCAAAGTGACACCGTCTCTAGGAGTGGGTATCTGTACACAATGAATAAAATAATTTAAAAAAATGATGTATATAATATTGTGTTATTGAGAAAAATAGTCATATTGATGGTGCGTACTTGAAATGTAAAAACGATGTGGTTGGCGATTGAATTCGTGTTTGGCCCATCCGAGTAGTTTTCTAGATCGTACGTATCACATTTACCCTGGCCTCTGATGTAAAACCACTGTTGACTGTCGTTGAAAGTTTTTACACATTTAGACGCCAATACCATATCGGTAGCGGACGGAGAGGGAGCTATAAAACAAATAAAACAAAAATTGTAGTACAGTTAAAAGTGTCCAAGGTGAAAAAATGGTACAAAAAGACAATTTTGTATTAAGGTGCAATATTTAATTGATCTAATCAGACTAGAAGTCATTTTGAGAATGCCGACTAATTCAAAAGCAAGTGACTACAAGATATTTCTAGTTAAAACCACTTTTAAGATATTTTTCTCCGAGTTATGGCGATGTCTGATAATAAAAGAATTTAGTAAAAGTAATTTTATAGAGATGTTAACTTTATAACAAAACACAAAAAATCACTAAACATTATTTAGACAGACACCTTGGAAAATGGCAAGTGACAACGCTGTGCGTTTTACGTACAGAACTTGACGACACTACTTGAAACGTTGATCGCTCGTAAACCGTGCGTATTGAGATTTCCACGAATGAATATTCTTCTAATATATTTTAAGTTGTTTACCACAGGCCGAAGGATATGTGGATTTTTAGGGGTGCTTGACAATGGTTTGTGGTCAAAGTGGCCAAAGATGTGTTGGTCGTCACAGTAAAATATCGTCGTGTCGTCTTACCTATGAGACCGCCGATGAGAAAACAAGCGAGCTGACATAGCATCAGCGCCGACACGAGAACGAAAAGTTTTCGGTTGCTCAAATTCTCCAGAATGACGCCACCGGCCATTTTCGTTTTTTTTTTTATGGCACTCAATACAAAAACGCCGGCAACGCGTGAAAATCGCTAAAAGCCTATGGGCGTACGATGATGCGTCTTTTCTTAATAAAAATATGCTACACGGCCAAATTCGCTTTGTTTACAACACTTCTCGACGGTCGCAGTGCGTGCGATTTACCCGGCGCGGTGTGTGTCTTGTGTTTATTGTTTACATTCAATTTATCAATACAGCAACGGCGGCCGCAGCGCGTCGTTGTTTGAGGTATCAATTGCTGATAACGATAACGGCTAGGTTACCAACGTTACCAGAGTGGTTACCGCGGACGACAGCGGTCGCCGCGGGACCATAGATCTACCTCCATCCGATATCGTGCTGGTAAACCGCGCCGTACACTTTTTGGGCAACCCGAATTTTACAGATAGCTGACAAACCACCATTAAAACCGTGTGTTGGTTGCGTCCATTTCGTTACCATAACGGTTACCGTATTGCATACGCCCGTGGACTATGCAAGTAGTGACTATTCGGCACTCGATATCAATCAGCGAATGAACTAAAGAACAATAATTATACCTCCTCTACGACTGACAACTATAGTCAAATTTTATTTTTGTACATATTAATATTACTACAATTACTATTGGCAAAATTAAAATAAATTACATTTCAAATTAATAAATATAATATAGTTACAGTGTGGTCAATTTAACGCGAGACTCGTGTAATAACATTTTTATAGTTCTTCTTTATGGAAACATTTCACATTTAAATTTATATTTTTTTACAAAATACCTATTTACCTATTCTAGTATTTTCCAGAGCTCTGTCGACTTTTAAAACTTAAATGTTAACGTATTTATTTAACCAACTTTTTAGATTAAATAATTCGTTGAAATATTTGACTGGTCGATAACCAGTTTTAGATTGGTAGTTACTTTTAAAGTTATTAGAGTTTCCAAATTAGAACTAGAGGTGGGCTAGGTAAGGTTGAGTAAAGTGCGTAGAGAAAATGAATACTTCAATTCCACCCTTCCTTCCATTATTACGGTAATTATAAACTATACATACGTAAAAAAATGATTTAATAAAATAAGTTTAACTTTGAACGAGTTATTTCTTGTTAAGCAATCGCCCTGTTATGTTTATGATTAATATATTATACATCCATGTTCTTAATCGTGTCATGTCCTTGATCCCCAAACAGCACTCTAACAAAAAAAAAAAAAAAAATATATACATATATATATATATATATATATAGGTATAGAATAATAAAGTGCATTAAATTATAAATTTCATATATATTTTACTAAGATACTTTTCCCTCAATTACAAGTATTGAATTATTAGCTAGGTATGTTCTTTTTTTTTTTTTATATGTTAAACCTTGGGATAGTTTGTTGCAGCTCTCCATGCATCTCTATTGTAACTTAATTCTTACAGGTCCTTGTAAATTAGTTATTACAATAGCAGATTGTAAAATTTACTTTGTAAATGTTGACATTATAAAACGTAGTATATTATAATATATAAACAACACGCTTTTGGCATGTCATTTGCACAGGCAAACTACAAAATATGTTTTTTGTTAATAAATTGAATAATGATTGCATTAACTTTATACACACTTAGTGTCTTGCCAAAAACGACTCAGTAGATACATAATATTTGTAATTTTTCGCCATAGTTTCGATAAATTATTTAAAAATGAATAAAGGAGTTTTTCTGGTTTTTTATGTGTTATACATGTGTATTATGATTTATGATGGCCATCAAATCCAACAGACAGCTGATCAGTTAAAATCCCTAGTCGCAAATAAGGGGTGGTCCATGCAAAAAGACATTATTTGGGTTCGAGACAATGGAAAATTTTACAATATTCACCATTTTATAAATAATCCTACCAGCTTAAGAATAACACCCGCGACCGTGGATAAACAAATTCGGCATGTTCATAAATATTTGAGCTGCCACTACGCTATTTTGTTATCACAATATTGCGATTACTTTAAAACTCTAGGAAATGAGTGCACAAAAAAAGAGGATCCTTTCGAACTATTCAATTGTCTGGAACATTATCAACAGAAACTCAAGGATAGCAATCCGCTGATAATGCGCATGATTGGAGCGCTCTCATATTTTGTCAAGTTATCACCAAATACCACGTTTAATAGGCAAGTACCGGAGATATTAGAATACTTAAAAAGTTATTACGATACCAAAGTAATGTGTAATTCTAAATTCGTCGAAAATAAAAAAATAAAGCCATTTAAAATTCTTGTGCGTATACAAGATATTGAGGACGTTCTGACTAGTGTCGTAAGACTATTGAAAATGTTTCTAAAATGTTATTGCTTATATCATCCGGACCATGCCAAAGTATTTGACGAGTTAAATAATTTAAATGATTCTAATAGTCAAATTTCTCCACCTCCAGATCCTTTCTCTAGAATTAACAAAACAATAGATTCATTTCTTAACGTATTTGAGAAATTGCATTACGAAGATTTTGGGTTTAAATTTGATACGATATCTAACACTACGAATGTTAAACATCCATGCATTTTCGATGGAATGGACGAAGGATCACATGAAGAAAATTTCACCAAACAGATCGCTCAGTTTAATCAGCTATTATCAAATCCTGGTTGGTATGAGCCAAACTTTTATTACTCCGATAAACATGGTATCGTGGATTACGGATTTAACTTAAAATTGAAAGAATTATTTGAAAGTTATCCTACTCACAAAATGGTAAAACCTAGACATTTTGCCAAGTATCTTCGACAAGCGTACCAGGCTTTGAGCTGCAACTTCGCCCAGGCATTAAAAGATCATGTTGAATTGGCATATGGTAATAATAAATTATTGTGTGGAAAATTGGAAAATAATAGTGATTTTAAGAATTGGCTGGATTCGACTACGGTTTTGATCAGGACAGGTGAACAATTGTTGTTACCTATGAAATATGCGTTTTCGTTTATACACCAGTTGTCACCGGATACATTATTCAAAACTAATATTTCAGTGGTCATAGATTACATGTTATGTTACTACAATCAAGAAAAACCCACTTTAAAGTCATTTTCTTATAAATATAAAAGAGTCACTGCTGAAATGATTAGTTACGCATTACAATACAATAAAACTATTATACCTTTTGTTGAAAGACATTTACGCTTATTCATTAGGGATTTTTGCTGGCCGATTCCACATCCCGAAAAAGAAGGTATTTCTAAAGCTGCCAAATCCGTTGAAGATATTTTGCAAAAGTCTGATTCTAAAGAATATAAACTAAGTTGTTTATGGGGAGACATTGAGAGAGTTACCAATGATTTTTTAAAACAATACGAAAAATTTGGATTTAAATATGATTCTAAGATATTTGATAATTTTAATTTAGAAACAATATTAACTTAAAAGTAAATATAGTTTAAATTTCCACACTGTAAACCCTTATAAGTCAAAAGTAAAGATAATAAACAAATTTTACCACTAACATGTATCACAACTTTTCTTTTCGCGTAATAGATATTGCCTATTTAACCTAACATTTTACTTTATTATTTGTTTGCAGTTATCGCTGTTCAAGATGGAAATTGTACTGTGAAACTATATGATGTACATTAAATATTATAATTCTTCATATTCTATCAACTGTAGAGTTTTAATTTTTTGCCATGAAAATTATAAAAGCGTTAGTATATAGTAATATTCCAGAGTAAAGTGAGTAAAGTCTAGTTGGATTTGTCGCAGTCATTAATATAACTGCTTTTGTTTTGGTCACTTTTCTATGTGTGGGTTTAAAGTCACGCTTAGTAAATTATCAAAATAATAAGGGTGGAGAGTTAAGATATTTTTATCTGAGCGCATTGCTCGACTGCACCTCCCTTCCCATCCTAACTTTTAAACTCTTAAAACTTTAAAAACCGTTGTTCAAAACTGGTTATCAACCAGTCTAAATGTTTAGTTAATTAGTCTTAATTTTAAAAGTTAATGAAATAAATACGTTACCATTTAGGTATCAAAAGTGTGAGGGGGGGTAAAAAGAAACAAAATTGTGAGAATTAAGATCATATTGTATAAAAACATTATGAAAAAAAAATTGTATTTCTTATTAAACCCTATGAGATATTAAGTGGTCCACGATAAATCGATCACCCTATATATAATGTATACCTACAGATACGCATCGAAGCATAGACTAACAATACGCTTCTGGCATGTCGTTTACACAGGCAAACTACAAAATATGTTTTTTTGTTAATAAATTGAACAATAGTTGTATGAACTTTATTCATATTTAGTGTCTTGTCAAAAACGATTCAGTTTATACCTACTATTTGTAACTTTTCGCCGCAGTTTCGATAAGTTATTTAAAAATGAAAAAAGGAGTTTTTCTGGTCTTTTATGTGTTATACATGTGCATAATGATTTATGAGAGCCATCGAATAAAACAGATTGCTGTTCAGTTAAAAGCCCTAGTCACAAATAGGGGGTGGTCCATGCAAAAACATATTTCATTGATTCGAGAAAATGGAAAATATTACAATATTCACCATTTTATAAATAATCCTACCAGCTTAAGAATAACACCCGCGACCGTGGATAAACAAATTCGGCATGTTCATAAATATTTGAGCTGCCACTACGCTATTTTGTTATCACAATATTGCGATTACTTTACAACTCTAGGAAATGAGTGCACAAAAAAAGAGGATTCCTTCGAACTATTCAATTGTCTGGAACATTATCAACAGAAACTTAAGGATAGCAATCCGCTGATAATGCGCATGATTGGAGCGCTCTCATATTTTGTCAAGTTATCACCAAATACCACGTTTAATAGGCAAGTACCGGAGATCTTAGAATACTTAAAAAGTTATTACGATACCAAAGTAATGTGTAATTCTAAATTCGTCGAAAATAAAAAAATAAAGCCATTTAAAATTCTTGTGCGTATACAAGATATTGAGGACGTTCTGACTAGTGTCGTAAGACTATTGAAAATGTTTCTAAAATGTTATTGCTTATATCATCCGGACCATGCCAAAGTATTTGACGAGTTAAACAATTTAAATGGTTCTAATAGTCAAATTTCTCCACCTCCAGATCCTTTCTCTAGAATTAACAAAACAATAGATTCATTTCTTAACGTATTTGAGAAATTGCATTACGAAGATTTTGGGTTTAAATTTGATACG